CAGAAAGTTGATCCTTAAACTATACAGTATAATAACTACAGGGTGGGACAAAAGTAGGTTTACAGTTGTTCATATGGAAAATAATACAATAATTAAATAATACAAAGAATAAATTATATTTCACGTACTTACAACTGTAAACCTACTCTTGCCCCACCTTCTATTTATACCACATTTGCATTGCGTTTGGTATTATAAGTAATCTAGAGATTATTTAAAGTATATGGGAGGATGTGTGTAAATTATATGCAAATACTATGCCACTTTACATAAGAGACTTGAGTATCTGCGGATTTTTGTATCTGAGGGGTTCCTGGAATCAATCCTCTGTGGATATTGAGGGATGACTATTATTGATATTATATGTGTTTTATATACACATATATCATATATAGTATAATATATATTGTATAATATATTCATTTATATTTAATCTTCTAAACAGCCTTCTGCTGTAGATTACTATTTTTAAGTCTCATTTTACAAATGAGATAACTGAGGCCCAGAGAGGTGAAGCAACTTGCCCAAGGTCACCCAGCTAGGAGGTGAGTGGAGGAGCTGGGGTTTGAACTGATGCCCTAGCTCCAGGGCCTGCCTTCTGAACCATTGTACCATGTTGGGAGTAAGGGAGTAAAGCACTGGTGGGTGCCCAGGGGTTCTGTGTCTACTTTTCTGTTTCAGTGAAGGGGCTTCTTCAGGCTCCTCCTGCAGGGTCTCCTTTCTAACCCCTTAGACCGGGAGCTCCCAAAAGGCTATTCTTCTTGCACATGGACTTACGTGGCTGGCCCTAAGGAGGGCCTGTTCCTTGCTGTTTTTCACCGCCTTGGTTACCATCACTGGGGAGTAGGTTTCTGCTATGATTTTATCCTGTCGTGGGCAGAGAAGAAGAGGTCTGGGAACCTTTTCCAGGGCACAGTGGAGTTTGAAATGGATTGGCAAGAAAGCCTGGCTGAGGGGAGACTTGCCCCTCCCTAGGTGGCAATGACTTTTCCTTGTGTGCTTTTGGGCTATGCAGGTCTTTCCTAGTCTGCCACAGCCAGCTTAACCTTCCCTCTTCCTCGCCCCTCTTTCACTTCCTGCCTCTAGATCCTACCAGTGCTCTGGGGTGGATCAGAGCCTGGCCCCTGCTGGTCGATGGATTGCTGTTGACACTGTGAGTTTCCTATACACACCACACCCTAACATCTGTCAATTACTGAGCACCTGCTTTGTGCCAGGCACTGGCTTTTACAAGCACTACCACCTCTAACACTCCTCAAAGCAATTTGTCTGAGGCTGGGACTCTTATCGCCATTTTACAGCTGAGGTAACAGAGGCCCAGCTTGGCTTAGTCAGTCGTCCAAGGTAGTTTGCACAGCTAGTTTGGGGCAAAGCCAGGACTCAGTCTCAGGTTTGGTGACTTCAAAGCCTCTGCTCTACCAGGCTGGACTCCCTCTAGCTTCCTCGACAATCTCTGAGTTCTCTGTGGACAGACATCTGGTTCTTCTTCTTCCTTCTCTTCCCAGTGAGGCCTAGAAGGGGACTCACTGCACCACTGTTGACTGGCCAACTGCATGAGGGGCTGTGGACCTTGCTTTAGATGAGACTTATCAGGGCTGGAATGGGGCAGTGCCTGGCCTGGCCGGAGCCTGGCAGACCCACCTGAGGTATCACATTGTAGAAGGCATACATAGTATTGCTGGTCCCAATCCAGATCCTCACGGTGCCTGAGGCGTAGGCTTGGACACGGTCATAGACTTGGCTATAATCTTCGAGTTGCACACACATGGGGCCTGTGCAGCTGGAGTTCAGATACTGCAGGGTCTCAGAGTTAAAGCGACTCTTGTTTACAAATAACCTGGGTGGGTACACAAGACCGAGAGGGTCCTGAGAGTCTCTAAGGACAACGCAAAGGACCAGAGGCCCTCTGTTGCTGGAGGTCAGGGAGCGGGAGCAATAGGTAGGAACAGGGGTCAAAGGGTCAGGAAGAGCTCCAAGCTCATGGGAAGGCTGCATTTTGTGGTAAGGTAAGTGGCGGAGCAGTGAGGGGTAGAAATTGGAGGAAGTCCACCACAGCAAGCCAAGGAAAAACCCTACCTGATGGAGGAGTCCGTGAGCAGTGTGTAGGAATAGAAGAAGGGGTTATAAGGGATGTCACTGCTGCGCAGATTGAAGAGCCCTGGGGAAGAGAATGGGGGCTATTTATGAGGCTGAACTGCCTGAGGCCGGCACCTTTGCTATCTATGCCACACCTTGCTTTGGACTCTCAAAGATGGCCAGCAGCATGCCTGTTTCATCTACCTCTGCATGTTTCTTATTCTTTGTGGGAGAGGGGTGTCTTTGACGCAAAGATGAGAGCTACAGACCTTTTCTCCCAGAAAAATGCAGACACCCAGACAGCAGTAAGCACATAGTTTCAGTGGGTTCCCAGATTATCTGAAGCCAAGAGCTGGGGTCAGGTAAGGAGCCCTGAGTCATGTAGGGACAGAACTGAGCTTCACCAGGTGATAAAGCTGGGTGTGTGAGTGCCATGGGATGGTGGCCGGGCAGCTGCGAGGTGCTTAGTGGGTCTCTTCCCCTCCATGAGACAGAAACCTTTGCTGCTGTAGTCAGCAAATACCTGCGGTGGCCTGGAAGCTGGCCCCAGATCTTCCTGGGTTTCCTAGTTGCCTCCCCTCAGTTCCCATAGGCCATAGCCACAGAGCTCTCAGATCTGGGGGGTACTTGGTGGTTGGGGGAGGAGTCCTTCACTGCAGGGCCAGGGAGGTGTGGGGGTTGGGGGACCCAGGTGCCCACATGCAAAGCACATGCAGTCTGCAAAGCTGTACTCACAGGCTGTCTCATCAAGCATCGACAGGAGCACAGCAGTTGGGGCCTTGCGATGCTTTTGCATCTGGCTGCGGATGTTGGATACTTTCTCCTGCCAGCTGCTCCCTGGAAGCAAAGGAGCCCAGAGGAAGCATGAGTAACATATCTTCTCTTTGACGCTGTTTCTGAGGGGGCTCCCTTAGGGCAATAGCTTTTCATATTTTAAAAAGCAGTAGAACTCTTTCATCAAACTTCTATCTGTGTAGTTGTTAGGGATATGGGCTCTGGACCCAGACTATCTGGATTCAAATCCTCGCTCTGCCATTACTAGCTGGGTGCCCTTGGGCAAATTAGTTAGCACCTCTGGGTCTTATTTTGCACATGTGTAAAATGAGGATGGATCATAATGATAGTATCAGTAGGGTTGCTATGGGGGTCAAATGAATTAATCTATTTTAAAATTTTTTTATTGAATTTATTGGGATAACATTGGTTAATAAAATTATATATGTTTCAAGTGTATATTGTATCGTGTGTTTTCACCCAAAGTCAAGTCTCCTTCCATCACCATTTATCCCCCCCTTTACCCTGAATTCATATTTGTAATGCACATAGAATGGTGTATGGTAAGTCTGATACAACTTTTTCATCAATAAATATGTACGCAGAACAGAGATCAGGGGAGCAGCCCTAGTTGAAGGACAAAGGAATGGGACGGGGCCATGTTTAAGTCTCTCCCCTGCAGTCACCCTGGTGCTTAATAACCACAGATCTGAGCTAAGCACTTTGTATACAGTGTTTTAATTCTTACTTGGCCTATTTTACAGAGTCTCAGGGGAGGCAAAGTGACTTATCTAGGGTCTTATAGCTGGCAAGGGGTGGAGCTGAGATTCATACTCAGTTCATTTGACCACATGGCTCACACTCTTAATCTGTACAGACACTGGACTATCTTGCTAACATTGTCAATCTCCAAACCTGTCCTTAAACTCAGTGTCACAGAGCTGTCCTTTCTGGGGTGTTTGTATCCTGGTGCTAGGACTTTAGTTTGCATCTTTTATTCCTGTTCCCTGTAATGCCTGTGAAGAACCTGCTAGGAACAGGGCTAGGAATTTACTGGCAGAAGGTCATAAACCCTTAATAGGGTCCTAGTTGGGCTCAGAGATTAGCATGAATAACTGAATGCCATTAAAAAAATAATTTTAGCCTGGCCGGTGTGGCTCAGTGGTTGAGTGTTGACCTATGAACCAGGAGATCACAGTTCGATTCCCTGACAGGGCACATGCCTGGGTTGTGGGCTCGATCCCCAGTAGGGGGCGTGCAGGAGGCAGCTGATCAATGACTCTCTCATCATTGATGTTTCTATCTCTCCCTCTTCCTTCCTCTCTCTGAAATCAATAAAAAGACATATTGAAAAACTAACTTTATGCAAACAGGTAAAACGATTCAGTAAGAACCAAAGCTTTGGCTATCATACATTTTTCTTCTTTATTTTCCTCTTGGGTCTGATACTTTTTAAAGTTTATTTTATTTTATTGTGGTAAAATACGCATACCATAAAATGTATCATTCTAACCATTCTAAAGTGCACAATTCAGTGGTTTTAAGAACACTCACAAGATTGTGCAGCCACTCCCACTGTCTAATTCCAGAACCTTTTCATCATCCCCCAAGGAAACCCTGCAGCCCTCATGCAGTCACTCCCCATTCCGGCCTCCTCTCAGCCCCTGGAAACCATTCATCCGCTCTCTGTCTCAGTGGATTCGCCTCTGATAGATATTTCATACAGAATATGAGGTCTTCTCTGACTGGTTTCTTTCACCTAAAATTATGTTTTTTGTTTTGTTTAAAATATGTTTTTATTGATTTCAGAGAGAGGAAGGGAGAGAGAGAGAGAAACATCAATGATGAGAGTCATTGATTGGCTGCCTCCTGCACGCCCCCTACTGGGGACTGAGCTCACAACTCGGGCATATGCCCTGATGGGGAATCAAACCATGACCTCCAGGTTCATGGGTTGATGCTCAACCACTGAGCCATGCTAGCCAGGCTAGAATTATGTTTTCAAGGTTTATGAATGTGATACATTTTTGAGACAAATAATGAAAGCTAATTTAAATTGTCTGATACATACAGGTATCTTTGACTAACTAACTTTTCATGTTCTTTCCTTTGCCCTTTCGGTCCTTCAAAACCTATGAGTTGTGCCCAGCTGGCGTAGCTCAGTGGTTGAGCATCGCCCGAGGATCTAGAAGATTGTGGTTTAATTCCCGGTCAGGGCACATGCCCGGGTTGCGGGCTCATCCCCAGTCGGGATCATGCAGGAGGCAGCCAATCAATGACTCTCTCATCACTGATGTTTCTCTCTCTCTCTCTCCCTCTCCCTCCTTCTCTCTGAAATCAATAAAGACATATTTAAAAAGAAACAAAAAAATCCAACAACCTATGAGTTTCTGGAGAAACAGTCTCTCATCTCTATAACTTTAGAGACTCAAGAACTTTGTTCTTGGGCTTCCAGGCCCAGCTCTGGCACCTGATGGCTCTTCCTTGAGGACCAGCAGCCTGCGATGGCTCGGTTTCCCTTCACTTGTGGGAAGTGACAAAACTCATGCAAATTTTCTCCAAGTTCCTGGAAGGTTTTTCTCTTTATTCCCTCCCCTTCCTGACATAATGGTGCTCTTCTTTATTTGAATGAGATAAGTTATATGTTTGATGGAACAGCCTTGGATAGCAAGTTTCTTTAAAAACTGCCAAGATGCAGAAAGAATGATTCTGTAAGTTATATCAGAATGGATAAAGAAAATTGGACACCATTTTAACTTGTTTCATCAGACCTGCTATTTTGAAATTTCCCTCCTGCTGTTTTGACTCCTCTCCAAACAACAAATGTGCATGGACCTGCATGTGGAAAGGGGCCTCTCAGATTGCCCAATATTCCTAGGAATCCAATTCCATTGGCTTGTTCAGAATTCCTGGGAAGGCAGAGGGTGGTGGCAGCCAAGACACTGATTTAGTCAGTAGCCTGGTCCAGCTAAGATTTTAGTTACAACTTACAAGAATCATAGAGCATACTGCTCTTTTATGACGTATTTAGTTGGCGTCAGCAGTGTTAAGATTAATGACTGATGTTAGGATTACTGGGGTCAGTTAACGTTCCTTTGTAGTCTGGCCAAAATTTGAACCCTAATCTGTGCCACACACTGACCTTACTTACTCTCTTTGTCCACCCCGGCCAACCCAACCCCAGCAATCTTAAATCTAAATTCCTCATCACAAGAGGGCTGGAAGTCAAGGTTTGAATGATTCAATATGAGCTGGTCTCCAATACCACGTCAGCAACTCACATCATGTTTTTTCTCTCTTCAAAAGGGTGTGTTATTTTCCATCTTTCTTTGACTCCCTTGTTTTTTCTCTCCCTGCTCCCTCTTGCTTCAAATCCTAACACTCTTTATTCCAGCATTTTCTAAATATGCTCTGAGGGCCTTTCGATTCAGAGTCACTTTTGAGGGGGCCAAGAAATGTGCATTTTAAACAAACATCCCAGGCAATTTGGGTGGACATGAAGGTTTGAGAACCATTGCTTTGGTACTTCTTAGGACAATTTTTTTTTTCAGCCAAAGTAGCAGCAGCAGGGACCTGTGTTGCTACATTTTGGGAAGGAGAGCTGGCTTGGGGAATCACCTGTGAACGCATCCTGCAGGACATAAATGGGCTGGCTTGGAACTGGAGGCCTCTTTGACCCCCATACCAGGTCCACAAGGTTGGCTGTGATTGACACCAGCTGTCTGTCAGAGCCTTGGAAAGCCATGTCATAGCTCTTCCAGGTACCTGCAGAGACAGGAAGGAGTCACTGGCTTCTGCCCACTTACACCTCAGGAAAAATTGTGACTCAGGCACAATTAGTCCTTATGCACTCTGTCTCCTGTTCTGCTCCTGTAGCCCCAGCTGTCCAGAGCCTGTCCAAGCAGTCTAGCCTTCCTGAGTCATGCACTCTCACCTTCCTTTTCGCACTTGCAAAGCCTAATTTTCCTGCGCCCACCTCAATACTGCCCATACGCAATTGGCTAAACTCATTAAGTGCTGGTGGCTGTGGGGCCCTCTTTGGGTACTATTCATTTTGAATGAGCTTCAGCGTCACAGCCCAAAGGAATGGTGATGTTCAGGCCATTGGAAAAGCTGTCAAAGAAGTCATTTCTGAAATGGGAGCCTTTAGTGCATATTTAGGAGGACTCCATCCTTGGGGTCAGGCTGGCTAGTCAGTTGGGGCCCCAGAGCTCAGGGAGCTGTATTCCTAGTGTGTGTGTGGTGGGGAGGGGACTGTGCTTCTTTACTCAGAAACTCTCTCAACTCCTTTGACCCTTCCAAGCTGCCTTCCAGAAGAGGGCTACCAAGTAAGTGATTCTAGTGTCTTAATCAGTAGAGTTCCAGGTTACAGAGGATTGTTCCGGGTTGAAGGACATCCTAGACTATTCAACTGCTAGATCTGAATAGTTTCCTGAGACTTCTAGGATGGGCCTCTGCACTCATGACTTTAAAAAGTCTATATTCATTCTTTTCAATGTATTTTCATTACAAAATTCATGAATACATTTTTGTTGCAAAATATACTGCAACCACAAGTTCAAACACTCTATCTTTAGTCACCTTGCCCTTCCTTCTGCCAAGGTATGTTTCTCCACATCCCAGGGAAGCTGGGTCACCCTCATTGGTGTGGGCAAAAACAGGGACTGAGGGAAGAACTTACCAATGGAGAAGAGAAGAGGGTCAAAGCCCACACGCCCTCCAGCAGGAATCTCAGTGAAGAGCCAGTTGACAATGGGGGAAGTGCCAACTTAGAGGAAGACAGGAAGGAACAGAGGTCACCTCTAGGGCCAGCCCCAGGCTCTCTAGCCAGGTTTCTGCCTGTGACAGTCCTGCCATGTGTGTCCTCCTTGACAGCAGCCTCAAAGTTTAGGGATGGTCTCAAATTTCCCCAGCTTCCCATAGGGACCCAACTTAGCCTTGAAGAAGGCACCCCATCACCTGTATGTCCCCAAACTTAGCCTGGGTTCCAGGGCTTGGGGCACAAATCCATGTGACCCTTTTACCTTCCTTATGGAGCTCCCAATTGCAGTCCATCTCCTGCTCAGCCTGGGTCCAGTAGCGACTGTCAGTCCAGAGACCTGCTTTCCCCATGGTCACCACTGCAGTTCCTGGGGCAAAACAGAGAAACTTGGAGGTGAGGGTGAAGGTGAGGGATGTGGTTTTATTAGTGCATGTGCAATACAGTGCTGGCTCTGAGAATGTCACAGGGGCCTCTGGGAAGAGTTCTCTCCTCCGTCGGAAGGAAACGAGGCAGGAGATGGAAAGAGAATCATGATGAAAGCCAGCAGAAAGGGTGTCTTGCTTTTTGTCGAGGGCCTCTCCTAAGGGAGCCATTAGGACTTTTAATAGGAGAAGTGGGGTCGGCTTTTGGAAGTCTAAAGAGTCAATGCTGCATGTGGATGCTCTCAGGAAAGATTATATAGTCAGTATCAAGACTCAGTGGATTAGAGGGACACTAAGCCAGGGACTTAGTTGAGGAGAGGCAGAGAAGCCAAAGGCAGCATCTTTGGTAAAGAGAAGGGTCCATGATGGGCAGGGCAAGGCAGCTTGAAGCCCAGAGGATGAATGCTTAAGGATTAGCAAGAGAATCTTGGATTTCATTCAAGGGGCCAGGATCAGGGTGGGAGGCCTCTTCAGAAACTGGGACCTCATATAAGGCCTCTACATTTGTGTCTCATTTGGCCTTGTGCAGTGATGTTTTCTCCAAAAGGACCAGCAAAGCAAAACTTTGTTCCCAAGTGAGCCATTGTATGAAGGGAATCAGTGGGCTCCTGGTGACTAGACATAAGAGTTGCGACTATCCCAGAAAAGGAGCCCAGGGAGTGCTAGGCTGGGGTGGCTGCGGCAGAGGCAGTGAGAAGGGGAGGCAAGCTAGGAGGACCAGCTGCCTCATGCAGAAGTGTGGCTGGTGGACTACGAGATAGATGTGTGTACTGGGAAACCTGATGGGGCACCTGCCCTGTTGACCCTTTTTGGAGTGGTGGAGGGGAGGCAGAGTAGCAAGCAGCTTCTGGACACTAGGTCCTGGGGTCCTGGCTGCTGAGAACTAGCCATACTAGAGCACCTGTGACCACCTCTGAGTCGACCAACACAAGCAATGAGGGCAAAGCAATAGTTGTTACCTGAAGACCCCGTAAAGCCTGTCATCCATGCAAGCCGCTTGTCATGTTCGCCAATGTACTCGCTCTAGGAAATCAACAGCACCGTCGTTAGCCTTCTTCATGAAGTCAGACCCCACATGGAAGCCTCCCAACCACATCCCAGTTCTTTTTGGTCAGATTTATGCAGTTCTACAAGCCCAGGCATGCTGGGCACCTCTTCCAGGAAGCTCTCTTGAACTTCCCCCAGCTCTCAGGATCTTCTCTTCCTTTGAAGAACTGTACCTCCTAGAGTCTAAAACTCACAACAGAGCACTGGACTGTTCTGCAAAAGAGTCTTGTCTCCCTGCCAGAATGCAAATTCTGTGCAGTCTGGGATCACGTCTTTTGGTTCTTCTGGGTTCTTCCCTCCAGCTGTCCCCTCATCTCCCCAGTCTAGCACAGTACACTGAGTCTATCATAACTAATTTCTGCAGAGGGCTTTATAGTTATTGTATTTTGATCCTTATAATCCTCAGACACAGGCTTCATTACTCCTATCTTGCAGAAGAGGAAACTGAGTCTCACAGAAGTTCAGACACTTACCCAAGGTTCTTAGCCTTTCCCAGCAGGTGGGAAAACTAATTCAAGTAATCTTATTGATACTGAAAATTCCTCCTCTTCCCACTGGGCTGGTGCTGGAAAGGTGTTTGGGGTGGAGGGGGAAAGAGTAGTGGGAAATGGTGGGATGGGTGGGCAGGGGCGCTGCTTTGGGAAAAGCAGTTCTTCAGACCATATTGTTTCCTGTCTGCTCCCCCTCCCCCAGCCTACACCCCATACTCGTGTAGTCCGGGGCTCTGGAAGGGCTGAGTGGGAAAGGAGCTTATTAGCATTCTTCCAGTCCAATTCCCAGCCCACATTCTATTCTCCTAGGGCAGGGTGCCTTAAACATTCATTCTGGATCTGCCATCTAGGAAGTGATCAAAATCCATTCTGAAGTTGTTTATAGTTTCATTGCCTGAGGTCAAGATTTGGCAATGTCTTCTTTCCTATGTAAAGGATTATATTCTTTCAACTGCCCTAAACTCCCATGTCCAAGCTCCCCACTTCCTTCCCTTTGCCTGTCAAATCCTTCCTCTGCCTTTTTCTTTTGAGTCATAACAATCTCCTGTTTGTGGCCTGTTCTCATAGGCTGAGCTGGGGTAGCAGAAAGGGCAAGGGTGGGGAGGTGGGAGCCATCCCTTACCATGTGGGCATCCGTGTTTGGGATGATGTAGGCAGAGAGATTCTGGTTTTGCATCTGCTGGCGTAGGGCTTTCAGCTGCACTGTGGTATTGACCACAGTAACTGGAAGGTACTGACATGGGACAGGAAGACACAAAGACACACACAGAGACATATATTGTTTAGAGAAAATGACGCCTGGGCCCCTAGCATCCGGAGGAACCAACCAGCCTCTTCTTCGGCAGGGGTTGGGGGCTGGTAGGGTAGGTAGGCTGGGCTGGGCTGGGCTGGGCTGGCCTGGGCTGGCCTGTAGAGGGATGGGGTGGCAGCTGATGTTATGGGTTAGTCTAGATTAAAGTACGTGGGATGAGTGGAGATGGAGGTGTTGAAGAGCTTGGAGAGGGGCCCTTTGTGACAGTAATGGGACCTGAGTCTAGGATAGGGGTATGGGTGAAAGTTGCAGGGGACAGTCTCTCTTTGGATACCCTGGAGGTAGTACTACCAACTTAACAAATAAAAATACAGGATGCCAATACAGTCACATTTGAATTGGAGATAAACAATGAATAACATTTTAGTATAAGTATATCCCATACACTATTTAGGGCATACTTGTATGAAATATTATGCATTCTCTGAAATTCAAATATAACTTGGCATCCTGTATCTCATCTGGCAACCTTACCTTGAGGACTTTTTCAAGTTTCCATTCACTGGTCTCAAATGGCAGAGGAGGGTGAATGAGCATCCCTAAGAGTTTGGGACATTGTCCAGAAAGATCCCCTCCAAGCCAGACATTTTTTAAAAGGCTGCTTTATCTTTAAAATAAAGTGTGGGGGTTTTTTATTTGTTTATTTTGTTTTGTTTTGCCTTCTACTCCGCAATATATCCATGTTTCCTTTAATGTAAAAGTAATCTGGCTGGCTCACACACTGGTCTTTCCCAGGGGTCGCATGAAGTCGACAATGTAAGCAGATGTGCTCCTGAGGTTTAGTGGCTGCTGGCAGGCCCACTAGCTCTCACTTTTTGGCCTACCCCTGCCTGGGAAGCTCTTTTACCTATGTTGGTTGTAGAAAGAATCACTTTGGTCTCCAGCCAAGAAGCTGATGACTTTTTAGCTCCAATCTACTGGGCCTTCTCCAGGTCTTCACACCCTAGACCACTCTCTCTTGCCCTCCCATTGGCTCTTCTAACCTTCTGTCTTCCTCCCTCCTCCCTTCTTTGCCTCCCTCGTGGCTGTTCCTCTAGAATTCTTGTTTTCTTTCTTCCCATCCTCCTCCTGGCCTCTGCCTAGACTCAGTCAAAGGTTACCCAGGGGCCT